GCACACTTCAATTGGCGCTGTTGACCGCACAAGCAAAATTGTCTGCTCTCATCCGATTTGCATAGACTCGAATATTTCGTTCGGGCGGGCTGTGCAAAGCGCTGGTGGTGCCTTTTCCAGCGTGAAGAAAGAAGCACTGATCCTCTTACCAGCAATGCAAAAGAGCGCAAGCATCGCCTGCACTCGACAGCGCACACAGCTGAGCTGATCACCCTCGTCACGCTTTCGATATCTTTTGCCCAGTGCAAAATACTGGTGCAACCCAGCATGGCGCCATCTGCCGATGCAATGAACTCATCAGAGTCAGCCACCCGCTGGCGAGCCGACTCGCAGCTCTCGCCTCCACCAACGCCCACATCAATGTCCCTCAATCAGCAAAGCCCCGTGGACAAGGGAGAAGGGCCTAGCAAACTAGCACCTCCATCGAGCCCACAAAACTCCACCGTCAGTCGGACCGGCGCCGCCTTGCCGATCGAGGCATTCCTGCCAGGGAGTCCCGCCTCTAGCCCCACGGCATCCATGAGACTTTCGAAGAGCGGTCTGGGCTCGCTGGCCTCTCCCCATGCACTCTACCCGCCGCAAGCTGCACCCCAGGAGGCATTCCCGCGTGCCAGAAGGAGAGCCAAACGTTCATCGCAGCGCAAGGAAATGGGTCTACCTTTTATACGCAACGTCTCACGACTCTCCGCCAAGATATCCGCTGGGGTGGAAAGATTGTTTCGCAAACACGGAGCCAATGTGTCAAGACATCCAATTCGAACCCTACTCCTTTGTTGTCTTCTCATCACCTCACTCTTCTACCCTGCAGCTGGCATATACCTCTGGTCATCTCAGGGCGGCCCAGGAATAAGCCGCAGCGATACGTCGAGCGTGTGGCGGACACTTTCTACCCCACTGCTCGATTCTTTCGCTTCCTCTGGTCGAACCCATCACAATTCACTGAGGGATTTGCGAATGGTGTGGGATGACGCAGGAGACCTGTATGCTCAAGATCCGCGCGACTGGATGCCCGAGCGCCATAAGGCTCGTCCACTGAGATGCGCTCGCCTGGAACACGTCCTCTTCACGACCGATGACGTTATGAGAGGAGAGGCCGGACGGCGAGGCGTCCTGGAAGCGCCGGTTCTGAACTCCGCATACAGACTGCAATCCGCCTTGGAGACGCGGCTGAAGTCAGTGGGAGGGGAGAACACGCCGAGGTGTATTCAGAATCTGAGCGGAGCATGTCTCACTCTGGGGCCTCTCGACTACTGGCCCGAGGGCTCATTTCCCCTAAAGGCGGATGCCCAAGCTAGCACTGAGCTCCTCGCATCCTCGGTCAATCAGTCTGCGAGGGGTGTTCCTGTCTCTCTAGAGACTACCTTGGCTGGTCGAGCGCACATGTTCGCACGTAATCCTCGCGCAGAATTTCTTGCCTTCAGCTTTTGGCTAGAGCAGGCTCAATGCGGCAACACCACTGGCAATGAGCACGTCAATTTCCGCGCTCTCCTTTCGGACATCGCAATCGGTACCCGCATAGTGGAAAGCGAGCACCAGACAGCGAAGCCGGTGTTGGTTCGAGTGAGTGCCCGACGGCATTTTGAGAAACCTGTTGACCGTCAAATAGCCGTGTTTATGGGCTTACCCATCCGCTCCGCGCTCGTGTCACAGTTTGCACCGGACAAGCGCACTCCTCGAGCACATCAGATCATGCTTGCTTTGGGCTACTTGGGGTTCCTGCTCTACATCGGCCGAGGCTTAGTGCGAATGCGTAAGGTACACTCACGCTTTGGTCTGGCTTTCACCGGATTCACCGAGCTGCTCATCAGTATGATCATGAGCGTAAGCATCTGTGCTCTTTGCGGCACACGTTTGACCGCCGTGCCATGGGAAATTCTCCCCTTCGTCATCGTGGTAGTCGGGTCCGAGAACATGTTCGTCCTAGCCAACGCAATCGTGTCGACCCCAATCAGTCTTTCAGTCGCCTCTCGCGTCGCCGCTGGCTTGGGCGCTGCAGGCGTGTCCATCGCGGTCACTGTGCTGAGCGACGTGCTCCTTCTCAGTGCAATCGCCATGCTCGTGCATGTTGCGGCTGTGCGAGAATTCTGCATCTTCGCCATTTGCAGCCTGCTGGTAGACTTTGTCATGCAAATGACTTTCTTCGTGACGGTCTTTAGCATCGACTTACAGCGACTGGAGCTCGCGGACCTTCTTGCCCAGGGTGGCCGCAGTGTAGAGCAGGATAGGCCGCTCGCAGAGGATCAGAAGGTTGATGCATCCGCAGCACCAGCGACAGCCCTCTCTACACGTCGAGTGGCGCACAAAGAAGAGCAGCGCACCGGCTCATTCATCAGAATGAGCTGTCGCGCAGTATGGCGAGCTCGCACGGCTCGGACAGCCAGCTTATCGATTCTCTTGGCTGCTATGTTCGGCTTGTACCTTTACTATGGAACTGGATACCAGTCACAGGATTTGTACGGGCCTAGCCTCCCGTTCGCGGACATGCACGGTGTCTCAGCTTCCTTGCCCACGCGCAGCACTTTGACTAGCGCTCCGAGATCATCCAACGCCGAGACAAGGCTGGAGCCCACTGATGGCGTATCGGATCCCTTTGATCCGCTGGGGCATCTATCGACCGCCGAAAGCTCCTCCTCGGATGCGGCGCCATGGTGGATGGATTCTCCCTCTGCTTCCTTCTGGATGTCTCTCAATCCAGACGGAGCGCCTCATGTTCGCGTAGCCGTCGAGCCGTGGTCGATAGTGTCTCTGCGCTCCGCGAAGGGTGCAACTCCGCAACACACGCGCAAGCTGCCTTTCGCGTCTTGGGCTCTTTTCCGTCCTCGAATCCGCGCCATCATTTGGTTCCTGAAACTGTCTGTGCTCCCAATAGGAGGAACGACGGGGCTACTTTGGATCCTGCTCTTGTATCTCTTGAAGGACACCGAATTGCTGGATGCTCAGCGTGACAAAGGCAGCATCAGCGAAGAAGAAGGCGAAAGCGATGTAGCCAGGTCTGGTACCAACTCCCTCAATGACGACTCGATCGATGTCTCCTTGACAGCACTCACGGGAGTTCACGCGACGGATATCATCTTGACCGATGCAGATGGCTCATACATAGCTAGCGTGGGCATCGACTCTTCCATCATTGTCTGGGACACCAAAGCACCCAGCAGGAAGGTCCGCACACATCGCATTGCTGTCCAATCTCTCGGGGGAACTGACACGACTGCCGTCACTTGCGTCGAGCTGAGTGCATCCGATGAATTGCTAGCTGTCGGACAACGCAGTGGCTTTGTCACGATCTACTCGCTCGCATCGCAGCAGGTAACCCATCGCTGGCAGCCAACGACTGGCCCGGTCCAATTGGTGATATTCTCACGTAGCGCGATGCGTGAGTTGCGCGTCACATCTGCGCACCGAGATGGATCGGTCTGGACGTGGCTAGACGCTCCGGCACCTCAATGCGAGCCTTCCGTGCAGCCTCGTTTGGATACCAGCTGGACAGCTCAGCGCTTCCATGACAATTCGCGTTACTTCGCGCTGTCTGCGCCGAATCGCCAAATCGAGGTGTATCACATTGGTACACAAGGTGTGGCGCCCATCTCCACAATCCCTGGCCCAGCAAATGGTTTGGTGCGAAGCCTGACGAGCGCAGCACCTGGCCATCAGGGAACCGCGCCCGAGTCGGTGGTCTCCTCCTCCCTTGACGACGTTGATGTCGTCCTTAGCGGCACATCCACCGGCACAGTGCAAGCCTGGCAGTCGTCCTCGGGGAATCTTGTTGGTCAAGTGGCTCTCGCAGACGGACCGGTCCAAGATCTCTTCTGTATTTCAGACCACGAGCGACGCAACCAGCCCTACGAAACTTTCGCTGCTGTCACGCAAGCAAAGGTCACTATTTTACGTCTGAGCAATGGACCAGTGCTAGCCTCCACGGTACCAGACTCGTCGCCTGGCGCGACTACCTCATCTGCTTCGCGTCCCTCTCCACCGAGCGCTTACCGACGGATGGCGAGCGAAACAAGTGTGTCAGGTGCAACATCCACGTCTTTGCCTCGCCCGCGCCACGGATCTCGCCCTCCATCTGCCGGCGGCTCAGAATCCGGACATGAACTTGTCGTTGGCGGACCACGCGCATCTAAGAGCTCCTCCGAATTAGGGTCTCAGGATCAACCTGAAATTCCGACGCCTTTCGACAATTTGACAGTTGTGATGTCCTTGCCTTGTCATCGTGGCAGTGCGGTAGTCCTTCGGACCTCGGGCGACAGCTCGCGCCTGGCTGGCGTCCGACGACGACGCCGAAGCGAAGAAACAAGCACTGGCACCGGAGATAGTCAGGGCTCCTGGGAATTTTGGGAGCTGGAATGTGCGGAGTTGTCAGAAACAGGCTCATTTCAGTCCTTGAAGGTCAGGACCTGTCCTATTGATTTGGAACGCCTCGTTACAACAAGGGATGAAAGGTCACCGAGCGCGGCTGACTCGGACAGCGATGAAGATGGCTCGCGGAGACTCACATCGCACGCTTCTATGCGAATCGAGCCTCGCAAGATCCATGTCGCAGCTCGTGGGCCAAATGCGCCACTGTCTTTTGCGCGCGTCTCGCTGATCAAGTCTGTGACCACCGTGACTGGGTTTGCTGAGAGGGCATCCGACGAAGCTCTGTTGCAATCCTTGGCCGCTGTTGGCGAGCGGCGTCGATCGCTTGTCATTGCCTTTGGCAATTCTTTGGCTCGACTTTCGATCGCAAGTCCGCCCTATCCTCGGATTGGCACATTCGGTAGCGTCTCCTCCGCAACGGGCTTCGCCATGCACCCATCTTATGATCGACCTTCCTCCACACTCATGCGTCGTCGTCGCTCGCGCTTCGAGTGATTACGCGAACAACGCGTGATCTTTTCAGAAGCGCACATGTAAATACTTCTACTCGACCGACTCTGCCCATCACTTTTCATCCTCAAAACGTTTAGCGATGCGTTCGATTCGCCATCCGCCAACGTACCGTGCACCAATCTCTATTTGCGCCGGCCTCCGCATCCTATCCTCTTGTGTTACACGAGACTAGCATGTACGCTGTATACGAACGTATCTCCTTGCAAATGTACCGGCTTGGCCTCACCATTACCTGCTCATGTGTTCCCACGTGATGCGTCAACGACACACTGCAAACAACTGCTCTGACAACGGAAGGGCTACGCTGAGAGTTTGCATTTGCATACGAGCACTCGAAAGCATCAGTGAGTGTGGTCGCCGCTGTACACCTGCGAGCTACCTGACGGAGCTTGTGGACCTCGAAAGGGACATTGATGCGCCGCTTGCGCTCGCGCTGAGCGGTGCGGCGCGCTCGAGTTGTATGGTCAAAGTGTCCAAAGCAGGCAAGCGCTTCCTTAGGATGGATTCGACTCGCGCTGCTAGAGCCTCTGGTGAGACGACGGGCGGCCATTCTGCATGCGGTTCGCCCGCACCGTTCATTTTGGGAGAGGTGTCGCCTTCCGTAAATGCTTGAACAGACGGCGCGGCCGTGCTGAGTTGCAGACGCTGCGGTTTGTATGACCTGAGAGTCAGCTCGCCGCAGAAGCCGGAATACTGGAAACGAGATGCCAGACTCACGATGGATCCAACGAGCTTCTCGGCATCTTTAGGCCAGAAGCGCGGCTGTGAGAAGGACTCCAGCCCCTCAACATGTTGCAGCTGACAAAGATTGGCGAGGTATAAGTGGCTTCGCCTATCGTACTGTTGAGACGATCGAACGCTCACCTCTTGCAAGGCATTGACCACGTCATGTTCTTGTTCGTCTGGGAGCACGAGGCAAAGAATGCGACCGGCATCAACCACCAAAGGAATGACAGAAGCCGTAATAAGAAAGGCAATGAAGAGGGATGCGATCGGATCGAAGCCAGTCCATCCGAACCACTCGATGAGCAGCGTGCTGATAATAACACCGACACTGCCCATCGTGTCTGCCACAATATGCAAGTAGACACCCATCATGCTATCAGCAGGGCCGATTTGCAAGACATCGGTTAGCAACATGAAACCAGCAAAGACATTCGTTAGCCGTGTCACGTACTTGTGGGAGTGTCCGTGTCCATGGCCGTGATCATGATGAGAGTGTCCGTGTCCATGACCGTGGTCGTGCGAATGCTTTGCAAGCGAAGGTCAAGTTTTGATCAGCGCAATGCGCTTCTCGATCGAAGCCTCTTATCACCGACTCACATCATGAGAGTGAGAGTGGTCGTCGTGCGAATGGCTGTGGTTGTGGTGACCATGAGAGTGCCCATGGGAGTGACCATGATGATGGTGATGATGACCTGATGACCAACGCAGCGGGTTAGTCGTATGATCCGCGACAGCAACGAGCGTGCGTCTAATGACGTGCAGCACACTCACCGCCCATGGCAAACATGCCAAACAAGTTGACGCCCAGACCCATGCCAGAGACGATGAGAAGTTGCAAAGTGTTGTGCATCTCTGGTGGGTGCATGATTCTCTGAATCGCTTCGAAGACGATGAACACCGAGATCAGGATGAGAAAGATGCCATTGGCAAAGCCGCTCAATGTCTCTACGCGAGAGTAGCCGAAGGTGAAGGTAGCGTCCGTCTTCCAGGATGCCATAACAGCAGCGAAGAGTCCCATGCCGATGGCAGCGCAATCGAAGAACATGTGTATGGCGTCGGATATTAGACCAAGGCTGTTCGTCCAGACTCCCCACAGAAGCTGGACACCCATAAAGGCCAAATTGAGCAAGAGGAATTGGAAGATCTTTCTCGAGTCTTCAGCTGCGTAAATGACGGAGATCGTGTGCTGCGCTGTAGCCAGGAAAGCTTGTGCTGATGCACCTAGCTCTGATAATGCAAACGCATCAGAACCCGTGCGCTTGTGCTTTCCAAGCGAGGAGCGATCTGCGTTTGGCATTGACGCAGAAGCCGCGCCTTCATCCGCATACACGGGCGAGGTACGAAGTATTGATCGCATCCCTGAGACAAAGTGACACAAAGGGGTCAGCTGGATTGCAAGGACTGGGCCTTGTGATCTCAGCAGCGTCCAACTCACCCCATCCGACGCATGACGCCACGAGGACATTCCCCACTCCGATGGACAAACCAAAGCCAACTCTGCCGACTGCCATGACTGCTCCCACTGCCAGCGGCCAGCCTTGAGCCACCCGAGCGGCTGCATTGGAGTGCGGTTCCAGCGCGGCTCCGACCAGCGGATCCAAGATGAGTGGACCAAGGGCGAGTAGTGCATAAGCTGCAAAGTGCCCTGTGACAGGCGAGCCATGCAGCGACGTTGGCGAGGTGTGGAATGAAGGCGAGAGCGATGAGAGGGTAGGAAGGAGTGGAAGGCCCTGAATCGAAATTTGAATCAATCAGACAAGTTCGCTGCATGATCCGCTGATAGCTAGCCTTGGGCATACATGTACTCACAATGAGCCTGCCGAACAAGCCTAGTGGGAGCAGCACCGCAGCAGCAAGCACACAAGCCAGGACGCTCGCCCTCCTTCGACCCCCAGCTTCGGCGCTGGCCGAATGAGCCGCCCTTTCCTTTTCTAGAGTCATTGCAGCATAGACAGCTAGCGCTGCGTGTCCCACGAGCACTGCAGTGGGACTGTACTGCATTGCATCCGCTTCCGCCTGGGCGCTGGCTGCTCTGAGAGCACTGGGACTAGCCAAGCCCACTGGCCGAGTGTGCCTCAAAGATGGAGGCAAGTCGGAAAAGTCATCTTCGAAGCCGCCAAAGAGGGAGCTCTTGTTGCCCTGCAGTGCGTGCATAATCCGGGTCTCCGGCGAGACGGAGAGAATGTTGATCAAGAACGACACAACGAGAGCTCCGAGCACGGCGTAGCTTCCGTAGGACTGAGGACGTAGGCATATTGGAAGGGTGAGCTACCCCAGAAACCTACACGCATAGAGCCCTTCCTCGGCTCTTACCCACCTTGGATTTGATAGACCTGGCGAAATCTCCTGCCCATATCTCACAGAATTGAGTGAAGATGATGACGCTTGCAAGCAATGATGGACATTTCTTGCCGGTCAGTGACGGCTGCGTATGTCGATGTGCCATTATAGGCCAGACTCACGTAGTTGCGCTTAGACGCTGCAAGGCCACCAGCCAGACGAAGAGCTGAGCAAAGAGGACTGCAGCCAGTATGCCCAGCCTTTTGGGCAGCACGAGCATATGTGGATCGCTTCTTCTAAGCGCAGGAACCCACTGCCACACTCTGAACCACGAAGCTTGCCCGATCGCGGCTATGACGAAAACGATAGCAGCTATTGCCCAAGGTCCACCTGCACCCTGCACGGAAGCAGCCGCTTGTCGTGTGCTTGCAAAGATGGATTCCCCGTCCACTGCACCTCCCTCCGGGTTGAAGCCGCTCGGCATGGCCAGCGGTTCGTGCGTCGACTCAGAATGCTGTTTGAGCAACCAATGCCGAGCCAAGAGGGCGGATGAAGCGAGAAGCGTCTTGTCCAGCAGAAGAGCGAGCAACAAGTCCGTCGGTACACTGGTAGCTAGGGAAGGCAGCGTCGAGGGCGTGGGAGCATGGGACATGTGAGCTGGTCTTCGACTCCGAGCGGTTGGCTTGCTACTGATCGAGGCAGCGCTCTCGACGTGAGCAGTAGTGCTCATCTTGGGCTGCGTGATCAGCTTCGACCGGGAACAGCGCGTGAAGGTGTGCCTTTGCTTTGTCAGTGGGACCGCCTGAGCCCCCGAAGGCCAGCTGAAATTGTCGAAAGGTGGCCCTTGCTGTCGTTCAGGTGAAATGCGAGCAGTGACGAAAGGAAGGATGTGGGGCGGTGGGTGCCGCGGTTGCAAAGGAGTGTGTGGTGCAATGATACTGCTTCTGACCGCGAGCCGGTTGGTGTGCCTGAATAGATTTGTGATCGGTGGTGACAGCGAGCAGTGTCAAGGACCTGGCGTGTTGTAGAATGTGACAAGAAGCCTTCCTTTTGGCTGTGAATGCTGTGCTTCGTCGCGAATACGAGCAGGCTATTCACGCGTGGGTCGCGAGGGAAGAGACGGCTTGCCGTGTTGTGCCGCCATGCACGTTATAAAGCGCCAATCGCTCACCCAGATGCATGCACGGCCACAAGCAAGTCACAGTGAAGCAACCGCCGAAGAGGTTGCCTGCTGGCTGCTGCTGCTGCAGCATCATCGAGTAATCTTGGCAGCGCCTCATGAGTCGCACGGGGCGCCTTTGCGGGACACTTCTCGCACGAGAGACTCCAGAAGATCACACAACGCGTACTCAGGAGTCACGTGAGTCAAAGTGGATGGGCCGCGCCGCCTCCGTGCGTTCCAAATACCGTGCATGCGCAGGTACCGCCATACGCCTTCGCTATGGAGAGCAACAAACTATCGCCTGCCAGGCTTGGCATTCCCTACTCTTCATTGCTTCTCGCCAGTGCGACAACGTCAGAACACTTCTTGACCGCGCAGTGCAAGGTCACGCCCTCTTTTAAGAAGGACGGTCACTTGTAGGTCTTTATTCATCGCAGCATGTCGTCAAACGGTGCTGCAGCTGCAGCGCCGACCCAAGGAGGAGGAGGAGGTGCCCAGCAAGGTGGAGATTGGAAGAGCACACTGACGCGAGCGGTGGCGGGTTACTTTGTGGTGCAAGCTCTGCTTGGCCGTGAGTAGCGCTGACCTACAAGCTCTGATCTTAGCATGTGCAGGCCCGCTGATGTGCTCTCGAGCGCCTTCTCAGCCAATGGCCTCGTTGCTTACTACTACGGCAAAACACAGTTTCAGAAGCCGCCTGATGATGCAGCATCAGGCGCAGTTGCAAACGAGGGTGCCGAAGCTGGAGCGGCAAAGTCCTTCAGCGTGCCAGGTCCCCGACTACCTGCGGGAGTCAGCAAGCTGATCAAACCCCACAGCGTAGCTACACCCATCGCTCCTCCCGGCACTCCTTTGGACATCTACCTCTTCCTGTCGCAAGGACCATCACCCACCGAGAAGGATCTCGAGACGCAATGGTCAGCGCTTGTCTCGCACGGTTCAGGGCCTTGGGCTGAGACGTCATCCTCCAAAGACATCCTGAACATCCACCGGGCAGAGTACGATGAGCTGCTGCATGACCCGATCCGACAATCGATGATCGCGGTAAATGGCGTGCTGCCAGCTGCAAGATGGAGCAATGTGGTGGTAGGCGACGATGCTCTGTCACGATCTGTTGATCTTGAGATCCCCATCGGACCCTTGGTACAGAGCCGCAACGGCTCCATCTGGGCAGACATCTTTGCTGTGCCTAGTGGCCGTCCGCTCCGCGATTTTGCCAGCTCTCAGATGCTGCCGACGCTTCGGGTACGTAAATGTGAGTTCTTCTTCCACGTAGGAACAATGACGATGCATATTCGACCTTACCTGACGCCTTGGCTGCGTGCTCACTGCCGCAGTGCTCACAAGATTATACCCGCAAAGAAGACACAGAGAACAGCGCAAGCTCTTTGGAGCTTCAGATGAGAAAGAAAGCACAGACTCTGAGAAGATTCAAGCGCTGAAGCAGGAGGAAGAGCTTTCCGCTTCCGGTCCTGCTCCTCTGGTCACATTCTGGCACCGCAACCTTACTCTTGGTCTGGCAACCGTGGACGCCAAGTCGGCGCTGCCCATAGGTAAGTGATCGTCGAACGTGCCTCTGGGAAAAGTCCGGCTCAACGGACGCCAGCTAAAGCTCCGTGACTGCGGATGTGTTCATCGCAGGGAAGCTACCTCCACCTGTCCTTCAACACGTTCACGTGCAGCACGATGAGGCCGGCAATCCCACTTGGACTGGAGAGGCAGAGGGGCATAATGCAATCGCAAAGCCTTTGCTGTTCAGCAACGATTTTTGGCTGGTGAGTGGCGCTGGCACGACGAGTATCGGTGTTGCCGAAAGGGCGCCGATGAGCAATAATGTTGACGCAAGTGGTCTGAACTCTACGCATAGCTACGAGAGCACATGAATCCCATCAATGCCACTCTCGACACCCTGCCCTTGACTGTGAACCTGTACAGCAGTGAGCGAGGTTTTTGATCATGAAATTGCAGGACTCTTCAGCTGACAGCAGCTCTCCTCAGCCTCATTCTTCAAGTTTCAGCTGATCACGTCCATGCATGACGCTTTTGGGAAACAAGAGATGGGAGCTGCAGAAGTGGACCTGATCAAGGAGACTCTGCTCACGACGAGCCCGTGGTATCTGGGTTTGACAATGCTTGTGACCTTGTTGCATTCGCTTTTCGAATTCTTGGCATTCTCGAGCGACGTTTCTCATTGGCGACAAAAAGACAACGTCAGTAGGATGTTATTTTGGCGTTCGTCGGGATGACAAGTGCTGAACTTTATCAAACCGCTTGTGCAAACCGCTTGTGCAGCTCGCTGGAGTGTCCATCGGATCCATTTTGACGAATGTTGTGGTTCAGCTCA